AAGAAAAAACTGATTAAGATCACGTTTTATACTTTTAACGAAAATTCAAGTCACAACACCAAGAAGTGAAATGTTTCTAAAATAATAATAATACAAAATATTAAAAGAATTCATAAGTTTCTATGATTTTTCTCATACATTGACTAAAAGCAGTCATATAAACTGCAAATTGTTTTAGTTTTTAAAAAGTGATAGGCACTATGTGATAATACACACTGTGTAGATAATTATGCATATTTTAGAACTTGACAAATGCTTAAAACTTAGTAAAATATATTTTGTTATTATATTATTAATTATCATATTATTTATTATTATATTATTTATTATTATATGATTTATTATTATATTATTTAGTATTATATTATTTATTATTATATTATTTATTATTATATTATTTAGTATTATATTATTTATTATTGTATTATTTATTATTATATCATTTATTATTATATTATTTATTATTATATATTTCAAAGTTTTGTATAAAATTTGTGTATTTGTTTACTAAATTAAGGCAATAAATGACGTAAGAAATAAATTTGGTTTTATCTTTTGAAAAGTGACAAGTGAAACAATTAAAGTCGTAAATATCTAAATTTAAACTTAATTATATACGAATTAGGTATGTTTCTAAACCAACTTATAAAACCACATTATGGCAACATGATTATTTTTAAAACATTTAATGTTTAATATCCATCCAATCATATATTCATCAGTTTAGAAAATGTCCATCATTATCATTTTTTTATTATCCGTCATCTTGAAATGCATAATTTAAATAAAATAAAATATTCCTTTCACAGAAATTAGCTCACAATTTTTACTACCTTTTTTTAATTCCTTAATAATATATTATCAAAAAATACAAATTATAATTACATTCATTATCTCGATTTCCATACATTTGGAAAAATTTAAAAATCCTTTTTTTACCAACTTTTGTCTTTAGTTTTTTACAGATTTTGAAAAAATATAATTTCTATGAAGTATGAAATATATAATGATAAATACGTAATTACGTGATTAAAAGCTTCATTTTAATCAGGTTATGAATTCGCTTCAAAACTATATAAAATAACAGGCCACAGGTTTCAAGCAATCAAAACCAGACTCCCATTTTCCAGACTTGCCAGACGAGAAGTCACAAAAAAAGCATAGATATTTATTTAATACAATGCTATTACAAAAACTGCTTGGAATTTGCTGTTTTAAAGGAATAGAAGTGCAGTGTTTCTTTTTAAAATTGCAGCGATAATCAGTCGTTTAATCGGAGGCTTATTAACGATCCGATTTAGGCAGTAACATAAGCATCGAGTAAGAGTAATTTTACCCCCAAAAAATCCAACACCATTTGGCTGCAGCCAATTTTATTGTACTATGCCTTATTTTAAAACATTGTATAAAATGTGATAGAAATTGTACCATCGGTTCAAATTCTAATATGAAATTCGACATTCAATACAATTTCTCTAGCATTTATATGTCTCCTAGTCAAAGCTGTTTTTTCTTTTAAGAGCAATCAGTGCACAATTATTTATAACATAAGCAGGGGTCTGTTTAGAAGAAATTTGGGTCCGTTAACGGACCCTTCACAAAATATCTTTTCATAAAAACGGACCCTTCACAAAATATTTTGACTCAAAAACGGACCCTTCACAAAATGATCTTTCTTTTAATCGGACCCTTCACAAATTTGTTTATCTTCATTATTATTTTATTAATCGAATAAACCCTTTCCAGGGCAGAAAACAAGAAAGATAGATGTAAACGAATTTAGTTTTGTCTTCGGCAGACGGTTCTTCCATCATTCGTCCGAAATTAATATTCTGCTTTCAGCAGCATAAGCTAAATATCAAATATTTGTATGTTGCATCTCTAATTTAGAAGCAGCAATTGTTGTTTATTTTTTAAAATTTAATTTTTTTAATTATAATTTTACAGTGTTGAGCATAATCTTGTATGTCTTTACAACTTAAAAACTCCTTGAAAAAGTTTTTTTTGCAATAACGGACCCTATTTGCACGCATTCATAAAAGCGGACCCTGGTTAAAAGAATGTGAGTAATTTTTTCACAATATCACGAAAAACGGACCTTTCACAAAATGTCTGGACAGACCCCTGATAGGCATTGAGTAAGAGTAATTTTACCCCCAAAAAATTTAACACCATTTGACTGCAGCCAATTTTATTGTACTATGCCATATTTTTAAGCGTTGTATAAAATGTGATCGAAATTATGCCATTGATTCTAAATCTAATATGAAATTCGACATTCAATACAATTTCTCTAGCATTTATATGTCTCCTAGACAAAGCTGTTTTTCCCTTTAAGAGCATTCAGTGCACAATTATTTGTTTCCTCGAGAACTATCACAGAACTATAGATAATGTGAAGAAGGAATGCATTGCCTCTTTGACCCTAAAGGTCTTTCTGGAATGGAGGCGGTAATCCGATTTTCCGATGCCATTCTAAATTGGTTTTCAATTTTCCTTTAATCATGTCGTAATTGGATTTTGACAACGATTGAAAAGGTGGTATTGAAAACTTGAAAGGATGAAATCTAATTACTGGAAAATATTCTCTCTCTCTTTTTTTTAAAGTTTATTTTTGGCAACTATGTTATTTGATTTTGATGTATTCTGTCTGTTATTGTCATGATAGTTCGTGCGTAAATTTGAGCGACTTATTTATAGATTCTAATAAAATCTTTCATCTTTTTTTTTAATGTTGTTTACATTGACATTTTGAAAATACTTAAGTAGATCATAAGAAAAAGCATTGTTAAAGTTTACGTATTTTTGCAATTCTTTGATTCTTTTAGAAACAGATAGCATTTCCGATTTTTTTTCATTTCAATTTTATTTTCTATTGATCAGGTCTATCTATTCTATTTGATCAGGTCTATTTGATTTTCATGTATTAAAAATGAATAGACCCTGTTATTGTCATTATAGTTCATGCATGAATGTAAGCTAATGATTATTTCCTATCAGTTAATATTTTATGGATACTAATAAAATCTTTTTTCTTATTTAGTTTTATTAGCATTGACTTTTCAAAAATACTTTTATAATCAGTATAGAAGAAAAAGCATTGTTGAAATTTACTTATTTTCTTTGTATTCATTTATTTTTTTTAGAAACAAATAGCATCGCCGCTTTTTCATGTCACCTTGTTTGAAACCATTTATAATGTTTTTGAGATGTTTCATTGACTTGAATAATAGAGTTTATTAATTATTGCAGAAAGATCACTATTTTATATTTTATTATTTTAAAAAATGAAAACAAAGTTTTAGTAATTTCAAGCAAAAAAATGGAAAATTTTGAAATAAAACTTTTTTTTCTTCCGTTGCTATTTTCTTCGTTAAAACCGTAATCAAATGAAAGGTAATGATAATTTGAATTAAAATAAAAAAATTTATCCAAAATAATCAACTACAAATTTTTTGCCCACGCAATAGTATAAAATAGAAATAATAGTTTACAATAGGCGTAATATTTTGTTGTTTTTCAAACGCCATTTTAAGATACACCATCGTAATTATGCTAAAATTAAACGTTAGTATACCAAGTAGCAACCAAATTTATTTTATAAACACTTAAATCGAAACAATTGTTAGCAATAGATGTAATATTTTACTGGTCCTTAAACCCCACTTTAAGATGCATCGTCGTAATTATGCTAGAATTAAATTGTACTTTTAAGAAAAGTGTATGGTAGGTATAGATTATTAATTTTTCATGTATTTGAACAATGAAGAAAATAGTGTCGGTAGTAAGATTTCCAAAAGCAAGTTAATATACTTTACTTCTACATTCTTCTGTGTTAGTTTTGTTTTGTGTACTTCACTTCCATGCTTTACTTACTCAACTTCTTGAGTGTGCCAAATCCTCACCAAATGATATATTTTATCTACTGTTTTAGGTAATAACACGAAAGATTTTATAAGAGCTTTAAAAAACCTGGAACTTATTGTTAGTTGCTTGCTTTAATCTTCATCTGAAAGAAAGTTACAAAAATGTTTATTCGAATTATTGTTAACGTTATTTAAACGTAAGATTTTAAAAAGTATAAAATCAATTTATTGAAATCACTTTACAGAGTGTCTACAAACATTAAGTTGTAGAAATTAAACTTCAACATCAAGTCAAGAAATTAAAATCAGAAAGTTTGACAAGACGTGTATCAGACGTAATAGCACAACATTTTGACCTCAGACGCATCATACTTTCGGCCATACATTGTAAAACAAAAAGAGCATAATTATTGAAACAATAATAAAAAAATAGGGTGAAATGTAACCGATAAGAACTGACGTAATACTCGTAAACACTATCTAATAAAGATGGAAGACAAACATTCTTTGGCAGCTGCTTTTAATTCAGTGTTGTCGCCCTGCTGATCGGTGGGTAAGGTCTTCGTTTAACACAGGCTGGGTCGGGATTCGCTTCCCTAGTGTTTCGTTAGATACCAGACCGAAATGCACCAAAGCAAACACAATCGAATTGCCTTAATGTAGTTCGGAATCTAACCAATGTCTCCGACAGTTAAATAACTGAAAAAGTCTCTCATGATTGGATGATTGGGGATCGTGGTGGAGATCAGGTGATCACTGAACTTTGCTCTTCAATTAAAATTGTGTTACTATAGTGCACGCATTCGGCAGTATTAATATATAGATAATTCCAGTATTGTTACATTATTAAATAAGTAATGTTATATTTCATTTGCATTGGTCGTACTCAATAGTATCTATCGTACTCAATAGTATATAGATAATCAGATGGTATTTCTCAAATGTGTATTAAAAGAAGTTGCTAAGTGTTTGCATGTTGATTTCAGTTAAAAGGCTTTCGATGGCTTTCACCGTCTCTTCTCTTTAAAAAAATGGCGATCCACAAATTGTTGCGCATTCTTTTTTATCTATGATGTCATACTTTATTGTTTTATATGCTCCAGGTTTCTTAATGTGCATGTTTATTGCTTGCAGGTCTCGTGTTTCTGCAATACCAGAGCGAGACTAAGAGGGCGCTGTTGCCGAATGAAATCACATCTATGGACACTGTGAGGGCTCTCTTCGTACGTTCATTTCCCAAGCAATTGACTATGGAGTATCTCGACTCACCTCACATCCGGGTCTACATCCACGACCCCGCGAAAGACATGTTTTACGAGCTCGAAGACCTCAGGTGAGTTACATCTTAGGATTTACGTACTTGAACTTTTTTTATTTGATTCTAGATAAGCATACAACCGTTCGTAAATCTGTTATTTTAATTTGAACATGATTGGTATTGATATATTTGGACTTGAATGAAAAAATATTTTAAAAACTAAATGATGGTGTTATCCGTTTGGCAGGGACATTCGTGACCGATCTGTTCTGAGGATCTACGAACAAGACGTGAACGGTGGTGGTGTCTACAGCACGTATGATCAAGATCTCAGCTACTTCTCTGAACCCGAATTCGACTCCGAATATCAGCATCAGCACATTCACAGGAGCAAGGTAAGACAAGCTTTTGTGAACAAATCTTAATACCCAATCGTACGATTAAGCATTAGAGAATAGACATGGAATACTTCTATAACACAAAAATCATCATAACATATAGTATACTAAACATATTAAACTTTTTACTCGAACATGGATGTATGCTTTATAACATTAATACTTATGTCCCTTCGAAATCTAATGGTAGGTCAGTCGGTTTGATTTTCTTATGTTTTATCCAGATCTTGTTCTTGAGATAGTATTAATTGTAGACGATATTGTGAAACTTAAACAATTCTTTTACTCTACTGTTTGACTTGATTCAGTTTCTGGTGCTGTTTCTAATGACACTGAGACAAGCCAATCTCACCAGTCGTTGGCTTTTTTCGCGAATTACGTAAGGAAGGCTTGCCTTTCGTTTGTCAAGAGAGCAATGCAACGGTAAAAGTAAGTCTTAGCTCAAAAAACCACAGACGGATTGCAGCACCAGTCATTCGCGAGGCTATTTTTGCAATTTAGATATAGATCTGAAGGAGAAAGAAATTTTTTTCAGATTCCTGTACCCATGGTACTGCTTAATGACCGACCGCAAAACTTCCGACTCCACAGATTTTACAACCACTTATACACTCTGTGGGTAGAACCCCGGCCCCTCCGAACCAGAGTCCGATTGGAAACCACGGCCCTACAGTTTCTGATAAAATCAGAAAATGAGTTTTACTTCTTATTAAACCTTGATCAGTATCAAATGTTAGCTTTTCTTTATCCCTCCTCTATTTCGATCGTTTAGCCATCGCAACTATTTTTAGGAACATTATACCTCTCTATAAAAGTTCTGACTTTTGCTTTGACTTACATTTTTTTTTTCGTGAATTAAAATTTAGCTTAACTACATTTAGCCTTAAAGCGCTTTTCAGCTAGAAATTGCTGTGCAAATCTGGTGACCTGACTGACTGAGCAACTGAGCATAGTTTTTCTTCTGTGTCTACTCTAGAATAATACTTAATCGCACATGGTATTATAACTTCCTACCATTTAGTTTTCAGTTGGCAATCCGATTAGTTTAAATTATTATTTATAAATTGGAGCGTTCCAACTAAGAAAAAATATTAAATTTTAAAATAACAAGTTTATAATTTGATGCAAAATATTTATTTAATCCAAAAGTATTTTTTTTATTTCCAATGAGCTGCACAATCGGTCTTGCCGATGAGCAGACCTAGTGCGTTCTCTAGAGGTGGTATCCACTCTTTCAGGACCACCACAATGGGTGACATACCGTTGAGCATGTTAATTTAGACGTCTAGTTTCTGCCACACTAGAGGGCAGCACCGAGGCTCTATTTGGATGCTGAAGTGTACTATGAATTTAATTTTGCCGGAAATGCCAACTGCCAATAAGGCACTCCAGGGATCTTTTACATGCCGCATAATCATATGACATGGCCGCTAAGGATTTTCTGCATCCCGAAAATCCGGTGTCTGGGTCGGGGATCGAACCCGCAGACTTGGGCTCAGAAGGCGACGACAAACCAGCTGCGCCACCCAACCACAATTAATCCAAAAGTACGCATGTTAGAATTATATATGGAACACCTTGTCGATTCTTACATCAACCTTGCTATGATCATGGTTTCGTATAATCGTTAATGGATCTCAGTTTCAAAATATCCAATATCTTCCTTCAAAGTTTAAAATGCAATGTGCTTGTTGACTTAAACTAATACTTTAACAAAATTTAATTGATTAGAATCGGCGAAACCAGAGAAAGGAATTTATGAGGCAATAAATAGCTATTCAAGGGATTCTATCCACCATTACCCAAACGGAAAATTACATGACTAGAAATTCTAAGGAAAAATTCATCCAATTAAGACTCCAGCCAAACCAATATTCATTCAAAAACAATGACTCGTTTACCAGTGTGTTGTACCACGTATTTGCGAATATTACATTTTTTAACTTTAATTTTTATTGTTAGCTCATTCTCTATCAAGAAAACTGTTAAAAATTATATCATGGTCCTTTTAGCCCACGAGCAGAATTATATCAAAACTAAATAATTAAAAAGTGTTGCGTCAAAAATTGACTTCCCTGCATGTGGTATCACTGAAAAATAAAAAGCTTAAGTTGAATAATACCAATGGATGATCAAATAAAAAAGTTTTAAATATTATAATTCATATTTAAACAATAAAAAAATATATATTTTAGACAATCTATTTAAATATCATTTATAAGGCGCTGTTATCGGACATTAAAGCATGTGACTTCGATCATCGTATCAATTGTGAAGTTTCTGAAATAAAAAGCTTATACTCAGAAATTATAAAAAACTAGGAGGCTCCGCCCCCTGCTTTCTAACGCTCGCCAACCCCCGAGAATTGCTACGCAATCCTATGTGGTTCACGCCGTGAACCATGACTCGCTGCGCTCGCTCGCCAATGAACACAATGTTCTAGCACAAAGACATAGTATATTATCATCAAAAACATAGTATTGTACTTACGTAGATGAATTCTATCAATGTTCTTATTGGCTTTTAAAAAAGTATAGGGAAAAATATACTTGAAGGTGCCCCTTGGCGAAATTGGCGACTTATGTTTGGAACCATACTTGTTTGCCCGGAACGCCGTTGTAACTCACAAACAGGACATTTATATCTATTACTAATTAAACCTTCATTCATACACCATTCAATCACTGTTTTTTTTCATTGTTATTAAAATCGTACAGAAACTTAAGATTTATCTTATTGACAGTATTCATTTTTAGTACCAGAAGCAAAAATAACCTTACCAGTCGGTATCCAAAGTAGAAGTAACGGATCTCTGAAATTCATTTAAAAACAACGCTAAATTCTAAATTAATCAGAATCACGATTAAAACCTAAACCAATCAGAATCACGATTGATTTTCAGCATCGCCCAGCTTGGCGATCAATCGCGATCACAACTTGGCGGGGGCACCCTCAAGTATAGTCTACCCAAAGTATATTAGCTATTTAAATTGTACATGGTGAAAAAATCAAAACATCAGCTAAATGAGAAACATATTAGCAAAATAAATTATCAAATATTGCAGTTACTCACCTAAATTCAACTAAATGTGTATAATAAATTAGTTAATGCTATAAATTCTGAAAGTTTTAGAAAAAAATTTTATTATTTAAAAATATAAACTTTAAACCCTAACTTTTCCTTGTGAGATAATAACCCTCAAAAAGTCTTTCATTTTCAAGAACACAAAAATTTGTTTTATCGCCAAATGAAATATTTTTTGGTGATCAGCATTATTGAAATCAATTTCTATATTAATTAACATTTGTGATAAAGTACATAACATTTTAGAACAAAATAAGGATGTTTTACATACAATAAATTAAAATGCATGGCTGTTAGCATTACCCGAGAAATACCACGTGGAGGTCGCCATGCTGCATTTCTAATCGGGGAGTTTTGATTTTGGCAGTTCCCCTTGCCTACTGCCAATAGAAGTTTCAATTAAATTTTTTCCAAAAAACATTTTTTTCTGCAAAGCTCTAAGAAATTAACACTAAGCATTTAGAATTTCTTTGAAAACACAATTATAGATTTGGCATCTTGGAGCAATTACTGAAAGGCTGTCAAATGACTTAACTCTTGACAGGCCAACATAAAGTTGTCCATGACTAAAAACTTGTTTAGTCAATACTAAACTGATTTTCTCAAAAGTCTGACCTTGTGACTTATTTATAGTCATGGAGAAGGCCAGCCTAATTAATTCCTAATTGAGTTTAAATTAAATATTATCATGTTTTTAGGGCATGAATCTGAATTGAACAACCTGATAATGCTCACTCTGGTTATTGTTTCCGTTTTTAAAAGCGCTATATGTTGAGCCACCTCATGTGACATTTGCCATGTGACATTTTTAGCAGCAATCATTGGTCGATTTTCTAACGTTGCCATTCGGGGAGTTGTAATGAGGCTTTTTTTTGGTGCCGTGTAAGAGAAATATATATATATAGATAAATGAATAAAAGTGATTACTTTTAATAAATTGATTGATTTTTTAATATTTATGACGCGTGGTCGGATGTACAAATGCGCGGTTTTATCGTCATAACATATCCTTACATATCATCGGAGCAATAGCAATCGTACTCAATTAAAAATTAGATTTTTTTTCAATTTAAATGTAATAAGTTTGCTTAACATTATTTAAGAAACGCGATCGTAACAAGACAAATGTTGAGTAATCTCCCCTAAGTTCTTAATTGGATTTTTCAACAGACTTCACTTTCTTGCAAACATAAGTTTTCATCACTATTTTGGACACCTATATATTATGTTGATTAAATATGCTGAGTGAAATGCTAGAAATACACTTTTATTATTGTTTACGAATATCAGTAACTGAGCATTGCTATCACATCCTCTTTTATCAAAACTTTTAAACATTGATTCACGATAAACTTGTATAATTTACTAAAAGGTAATGCTGCAAATACAATTAATAAGTTTTAAACGAATGTCATTGCAAAACTCTTGTTGATTTTTGCATTTTTCTTCCCTAAATGAGTTGAAAAAGTTTCGTTGCACCACAATACCGTTCTCATTTGCTACAACTTTGGTACGTAAACCGATTCTCGGGAAAGATTCTTTTCTCACACTAAGATTGGTTTAACATGTTAAGTTTGCAACACATTTAATGGGGCAAACGTTCTCATTTTGCACTACTTTAATACAACATTCTAGTATTCAACAGCACATTTAATGGCTCAAACGCACTATTTTATTACAACGTTCTAGTATAATGGTTCAACAACAAATTTAATGGGTCAAACGTTCTTATTTTGTACTATTTTAATACAACAATATAGTATTCAACAGCGCATTTAATAGCTCAAGCTCACTATTTTATTACAACATTCTAGTACAATGGTTCAACAACACATTTAATGGGTCAAACGTTCTCATTTTGTACTATTTTAATGCAACATTCTAGTATTCGACAGCACATTTAATTGCTCAAACGTACTATTTTATTGCAACATTCTGGTATAATGGTTCAACAACACATTTAATGGGTCAAACGTTCTCATTTTGTACTATTTTAATGCAACATTCTAGTATTCGACAGCACATTTAATGGCTCAAACGTACTATTTTATTGCAACATTCTAGTAAAATGGTTCAACAACACATTTAATGGGTCAAACGTTCTCATTTTGTACTATTTTAATGCAACATTCTAGTATTCGACAGCACATTTAATGTGCGGTTTATTTCTTACACAATTTGCGATTCAACATTTAAGAATGCAAGTGATTACTGAAGGCTGTAGATCATTTAGCCGCAGAGCGTTGCCGGGAGTGCACCACGAGGAGGTAGATCTATGTGGGGCCCTTCATGGACACACTGAATCCTCAAGATATTGGGAAGCAAGAGAACTTTTAAGGCAATGACATCGGTCTTCTTTCTTTGTTATCCTACGTACATTTGTATTCGTTATTTATTTCATCTTTCTATTTGTACCTTTTGCCTTGTCATTGGAAATATTAAAAAAAAATTTAAAAAAAAACATTTAAGAATGCAGCAAATTTAAATGTAATTGTAGTTAAACGTTCCACTAATAGTGGTCGAACATCACATTCAATTTTAAAAGTAAATTTTTCTAGAAAACTTTTAAATTTCTTGTATGAACAACTTAAACGGAACAAAGAAATTACACAAAAAGTGTGAATAATATTGAATAAACACAATTAAAAACAGCGCGCACAGGTGTCTTATGGAATGACAGCCATTTTCAACATGGAGACATAAATCAACAACATCTCCATTCTCAGTCGATCAAACACAGACGTCTCGTTTCTTTTTAAGTGAAGCCGAAAAGCATTTAGCAAAAGTAACTGCCTTCTTCGAAACAGTCTCGCAAAAATAAAGTTCAGAAAAAAATTAACAGAAGACGTAAACGATTTTCATTTCCGGAATGTGCTATTTGTCCTCCTGACTCACTTTAACCTCACTTTCTATTTCAGGCTTCCAAAGCTCCGTTGCCGCCAGCCATCGGGTACTACGGGACTTTGCCAGCTCAGTATCTACCTGCCAATAGAACCCAGACTTTGCCACACAGCGCCTCCATGAGAACTTACTCCCCCTCCCATGTAGCGGCAGCTGACCGCCAAAAGTCCCAAACTATGGCCCCCGGAGGAGGTAATTAAAAAAATTAAATTTTAAAATTTTAAATTTGTGAGATTTTTTTGACACTGTGGGCGAGTGTTGGATTTAATTCATGTCTAGTGAAACGAATGAGAGAGAAGAAAGTATTTCCCCGTCACCTGAAGGTCAGTACATTTTCTAATTCGATGTCTGATTCAATTTAGAATGATCTTTGATTAGATAATTAAAATTTTATGGGATATTTGCTTAATTAGAATTTTTACATAAGTATTATTGGTATTTCCTATTTTAATCTCTGGTTTAACTTCGAATGATATTCGATTAGATTATCAAAATTTTCTGGAATTTTTTTTTCATTTGTATTTTTAGTTCGATTATACAGTTGAAATTTACTAGTTTTTTTTTTTTGTTTGTTTGTTTTTTTTTTGTTAATTTACATCTTTAGTTGGCATTTTCTAATTCCATGTATGGTTTAGTTTAGAATAGTATTCGATTAGAGAAGAGAATAGTATTCGAGTAATCGGTTAGAGAATTAAATTTTTTAAGAGTTTTTATTTAATTTTATTTTTAGCCAGCTAACACCATTTTCTAACTCAATATCCGGTTTTAATTTAAAATGGTTTTTTAATTTAACAATTAAAACTTTCTGCAATTTTTATTTAATTGACAATTTTAATTAGCTATCATTGAAATGGAAGTATGAGTTTCTAGTTTTGCGTTATTTTATTTCTAATGATGTTCGAAAAAAATAATGGGAAGTTTTTTTCTAGATCTGAATTAATCTTTTACTAATTTAATAATTTTTATTTGTTATCTTACCTTACACAAAATTAATTACTGAAATGCAATAATTGCACAAAATTTTGTTAATCTAGCTTAAATATTTATGGAGATATGAAAATTTTTTATTTAAAAAAAAAACTAATTTTTTGTCTTACGGTTTTTTTTACTATAATTTTAAAAAGATTAACAAAAGTTTTGGAGCAATTTAAAATTAATTAATAAATTATTGTTCCAAAATTTGAGAAAAATTTGTTTAAAACTGCGAAAGATATGAGTAATTAAAGTAGTTCTTTTATACTGTGCATGCGTGGGAAAAATTTTAAAAAAAATTTTACATAATTTTATAGTGAATCGTATTTAGCAACTAATAAAAAAAAGTCGGATTAGAATATCTTAAAAATTTAAAAAGTTTCAAGCAATTTTCTAAGTAGTTTTCGTACTCTTTAAAAGAAAGTTCAAAGTGATAAAGAGTTTTCCACAAATTTTATTTTAAACTAAACAAGATTTATTAAAAACGAAGTCGGAATTGTTGGGGATCAGCCCCCATGAAAATATCTTTTCTTCTGCATGTTTTCTTTCCTTATACAATCATATTTCGGTGTATAAACCTTTATTGTAAGGTATTATCGTTTGTTATTTAATTTTGTTTTGCGATGCAAAATAATATTTGTGGAAAGCCCCTTATCATTTTGAGTCTCTAGCAAATGCAAAAACTACTTAGAAAATTACTTGAAACTTTTTAAATTTTGAAGTTATTCAAATTGGGTTTTTTTTTCATTATATGCCAAGTACGATTCACTACAAAATTATGAAAATTATGTTAAATCTTTTCCTCGCATGCGCAGTATAAAAGAAATACTAAATTGCTCTAAAATTTATTGTTTAATTTTATTGAATATTTTTGAAGTTATAGCAAAAAAGTAAGATGAAAAAATTTGTTTTTTTTTATAAAAATGTCCATATCTCCATAAACATTTAAGCTAGATTTAAGAAACCAAACTAATAGTTACAAGTTGCAAATTTGTTGCTACATTTTTTGGCATAGGGTGCTCCAAAAATATTATTTTCGGTTTGTAATTTAATGCCGGTTTTTCAAACCTCTAAAAATTTTAAACTTCATTAATAAGTGGGAGAAATTGCATAATCTAAACACTTCTGAAATTATAAAATGATTCTTTTAGTATTTCTGTAAAAATATGAAAAAAATGTATTAGTATAGAAATGTTTCCATTATTTTGTCCAACCCCTGTATATTTGTTTTTATGAAATAGCAAGTATTTAATTTACTTTTTAAAGTTGTTTTTTAATAATTTCGCTTTTTTTATCCATGAAACTTATAAATTATGCCTCGCACCTTTGCTTGATTTCTCTGTCATAAGTTTTATAAGCCTGTGATGCCAGAATAGGTATTACATATTTTTTAACTTAACTTATTACATTACTTGAACTTATTTTTTAATCATTATTAATTGAATTATATTTAAATTAAAACAATTAGTTAATTTTTATTAATATTTATAATAAGCGAACATAAAATATTTTATTCTTTTCTTATCGATCAACGTGACGGCTAATTTTTATTTCAATACTAATGCAGACTCTTTAATTAACTGTCTCGCCTAATCGAAAACAAAAATCTATTTATTATCTCTTTATTATTAATTTCTAACCGCAAATATGTTTCAATTATGTGGTTATTCTAATTCTCACAGTCTTGTAGGCGATTCGCTATCGCCAAAGTATTTTCAAACCAATTATTGATTATGGGAGGTTGACTTTGTTATCTTTCGATAATTCGTCAACCTTGGATGTCTTCTCCATGCTATTATTGCCACTTTAACAAATTGCTATTCTGCTGGGATTTCCTTAAAAATATAGGTTATAATTTTTCAAAAAAAATTTTGCAAATAAATATATGAATATGATATTGTTACACTACCTAAAATTAAAACTATATTTGAGCTGCTATGTAATTATGAATATTAAAAAGATCAAACTCCTACTAATTCATATCAGCTGCGTATGTGATCAGTTCATTTTGAGAACTCCAAAGTTGCTATTTTTTAAACTTACTGAAATTACTCTTTGGTAAAGAAACGCAATGTTATTTTTTAACTAATTTTTAACTGTCGAAAATTTACTTAAAATGAAACATGCAGAAATAATAAAATGATAAATAACTTCGTACCAAAAATAAAGATGACGAAACAACGAGAGAGTACATTGAACTAAATGAAATAGTTGGTAAAATATGTTGGCCCATCACTACTATCTTCACGCCTGATTATGTTTTGGCTCAGTTAATTTTACACATCATTTATTTTCTTGGAAGCCTACATTTAACTTGAGCAACTATTTATTGCAACATTTTATATTTGGCTCACATTTTACAAGCATACCAAATACTTAAAAAGCATAATAAATTTTCTAATATTCTTTTCCGTAACTGAGCATTGTTCTAAAATAAATTTGGTTGGCATTAGATCATAGCACATCTTTTGCATTTTATGTTGATTTGTTGACGAGAGCATATTGTACTTCATGACTGATATTACTTAAAATATTGCACTTTTTTGTTATGAGCTTGTACAAGGTAAACACTAAAATGTCTTGCATATACTGTAAAAAAATTCCTGAAAAATTACGATAAAAAGTCATTCATAATCTGTAACAATATGCTACTTTTCTTTCTTTATAAGACAAGGTAACTAATATTGGCTATTCACTATAATCTAACAGTTTAAGTTTAATATTTTTATTTCAGTTTAAGTACGAGAGTAACTTTAAAAAATCACTACAATATTCCGAATAAGAGCCAGGTGGCTCTATCCTGAGTGGTATACAGATCGTGCGTTAGAATCCCCTTACCGTTAGCATAATTGTAAAAGGTTTTCTTGGTTTTCCTCTCCGTGTAATGGTTAGTTCAACCAAAAGGACTTGACAAAGACTAGTTTATCTCAATGCATGGTTCAGGAATTTCTTTGTCTTCTGGTTTGTGTTCAAAATCAGATGTTGAACACTGTTAATCGTAAACCGAAAAATGGGTTGGCTGTTCAACACATGTTAAAAAAAATTTTTAATATTTCAAATAGAATGTTGTTAAATGTCTATAAACACATATTTCACTGTTTCGATATTGAATTTTTTAATAACAGTTTCAATAAATTTCATCAATTAAATAAAGTTCCTTAATTGTACTTTAATTAGGCTTTGATTTAAATAAGACCGCAATTGATTTTATTAACATTGCTTTTAAAATTTAATAACTAATTTTTAAACGAAGAGCAATGAACTAATATTAATGCTTGATAAAAACAGAATTTCAATGTTAAGAAATGACGATGAAACATTATTTTTAATATTTTTATAAAAAAAATTTTCAAGATTTTTTTCTAATGTATTTGGCGAAATTTCTTCCTCCCCCATGTCTCTGATTTTAAATATAAAAAGAAAAACAAAATGGTGGTTCAACGAAGTTCTAAATATATAATTGCGATCGTTGTAACTTATTAATGCCTAAACATCACTTTTAAATGGCAATTTAAAACGGCATCATAAGCTCAGAGAAATAATTTTTTCACCATAAATTAATATTTCACTATTTGAAGAAAACTCTCAGATGTTTCATTTTGATTATTCAGCTATTTCGAAGTTGTACTTTGATATTTTTAACAACCGTTTCGTAATGGAATTCCGTAATTATATCTTCGAAACATAAACTCTCAAATATTTGGTGAAATTGCTACCTTATTTGTATGTTATTAAATGTTTTTATCAACTAATTTAATGTCTAATTTAATAAAATATTTTTTATCTAATTTTAAAATATTCCGCATTGAGAAGAAGATATAAATGTTAATGAACTCGCTTTTCAAGCAATCGTTCAGGGTTCGATACCAGGCGATGACTGAGTACACTCTTCTTATTGCATGTATTTTTTTTAATCGGTTGTGTTACTCACGAGTGCACAACCTATGGAGCACAAAAGTTTCAGCTTGACCCCTAAACTGCCTTAAAAATTAATAAGAATATAAAAGGAAAAAAATAGAATTTGTATCATATTTTATCCATTCTCTGTAAGAATAAGTAACTGATCTGGTTAACAGCCTTTCTCAAAGTAATGTAATGTGAACATTTTCTTACGAAAGTTCTTTTTATGCAATAATTACAGTGGTAGCCGTGTGAAGCGTAATGACTTAATTTGTGCAGTCAACTAGAAAAGAAGAAATTGAAATTTCAAAATGCAATAAAATAATTAAGTTACAATTTAAAGATTACAACAGCAATTATCACATTTATCTATTATTGCACTAGTAACAATTTTTTTTCTGAATAAATTTAAAAGCTAAGTTTTATGACAAAACTAAATTTAAGTTACCTTTTATTCGTAATCCTACCTATTTACCATATTTTTCTTTGTAATTTAATAAGTAAATTTGTTTCTGCACCGAAGCAAAAAATTAATTATACATTGGTTACTCGTTTATCTTACTTTCAAATGAATTTTAAACTTTACCTGTATTTTTCATAATTGAACCTGCAGCGATTCCCCCCCCCATTACAATATGTAATAATCTCCCGATAAATAAAAATGATTGTGCATCTCTGATGTAACCTATATATTGAAATAAGTGTAATGTTTTTATGAAAGAAATCCGTATTTCCAAAAGAAGAGAGCAATTTCCTCAATTTGACGGAATGCTCGCTTGTTAAATTTTCCAGGAACCGGTTTCATCAAAGATGAATACAATTTTGTGAATTTGAATATACCTTTAACTTAAAATAAATGAAATTGTTTGTATCACTATGAATTAGTTTATTTATGCTTAACGAATCTATATTATATAAAACGCTTTTAAGTACGTGGTTATAAAATTTATGAAATTTCTTTTCGCGCTTTGGCATAAGCCTAAGGCAAAATTGCTGTTTCATTATTCCATGTTTTAAGTTGAATTATTTTTTGTTGAAAGTTAAATTTTATTTTCTTTAAGTTAAATTTTGTTATGGTTTAAATTATGCTTAATCTACGTACGGTGTATAATAATCTACGCAGAAGAAATAGCCGCCCTATTGAACCTCCAGAAGAAGAATATCTACGGAGAACAGTCAAAAATATTGCAGAAAGAGAGCGACTTTCAATTGAAACAATAAAAGAATGAAATTAGAGGAGATAGGTCAAGAATGCTGCCGATAGGCTCCGAGGCGTAAGAGCGCGTAGTGAAGGTCCTTTGTACAGAGAAACCAAATATGTATTAAACATTTTGTACAGAGAAAAGTTTCAAGAACTATTTATTCTTAACTTTAGTGTTCAAAAAAGTATACAAAGTATCCAATGAGCGAACGAAGCGAGCACTGATTGCGATGCAGTTCTCGGGGCTCTCGAGAGTTAGCGATCAGGGGCAACGCCTCCTATAACTGAAAGTATCAACATGGTTTCTGATTGGTAGTTCCATCAGACCACTATGAAGGTAAACTAGTTTACGAAAGAGCTATTCAAGAGAAAGTCCAGTAAAAATAAGCGGTAGCAAGTATATGTCTAAAAAAATTTTTAATTTATGAATATGATTGGTCTGTCTTATTTACAAATCAACCACTACAGATTCAATTCTGAAATATGTAAGATAAATTTCTCTCAATCACTTTTAAAATAGAATTTTGATTCATGCGCACAATTGGTTCACTTTTTTAATATTCTGCGCAGACTACTTGTTAAAAACCGTGCAGAGGCTTTCTGAGGACGGCAGCTATTTCAGCTATTGGATGTTTGTTTGCATTTTACATTGAATTCACGAATTCATTAACTTTTTTTTTAACTATAAAAAAAAATTTATTTCCAATGGCAGATTAATGGCAGATTTTAATAATCTGACTATTAATATTAAAAATTAACAGGTTAAAAAATAAAGCACTTTCAACTATAATATGATTTGTATGCAACTTGCGTCGTCTATCAACATTTGTGTTTTATTTATTTTTATAATCCGCGGCAGAAATATCACATTGACATTACGTAACTGTTGATCTGATTTAGAATTCGGGGATATTCCTTGATTGGCTGACATCCAACCATTTCCTCTCTCCACTTCCGAAATAAAAATGACGCGTCAAGTTGTTCACAGATTGAGTCAAATTAGCACGCCTTATCTTGTATGCAAATCTGCAACTTGATAAGAAGGTAATCATGTATCCAAGCAAACACAGACCGTGCTTGCTTTATTATTCATGGATTTAAATAACAGGATGTTACGTTAAATGCAGGATGCTCTGTAAAAATATATTTAGAATCCCAGTCAAAAAGGAAGTAAATCATGCATATTGGGGATCTCAAATTAGCATTTAAATAAATAAAAATTATTGAGATCTGACAAACCTTTGTTAAAAATGGCTGGTGTAAAAACATCATATCCAGTTTTAAGGCCGATTTGAATTTATGAGTTTATCTAAAGATTGTATTTTCACCTATTCTTAAATATTCAAATTAATTAATGTGTGCGAGCCGCGGTGGTTCTAGGGATGGAGCGCATGCCACCTAAGGAGGCGACAAAGGTTCTCAGCCTTGCGATGGCTTTGCGATACGAATTCTGCCTCTCGTTTGCATCGATCACAGTGTTGACGTAATGTATCCTCGGTAGTTGACGGATGATGGGTAAAAATCCATTTACCATCAGACTAACTTTGAGAGGCTTGTTTTTCCTTTCTTTTAAACATAAATGTGGGTTAATTCTGTCAAAAAGTCCTCCTCGATGGGTAGTTTACCCTAATGCTTGATCCAGGTTTGCGCGATTCTTCTGGGTTGTATTGGCTACGGAGTTGAACATTGATGGTCTAAACCCAAAAATATTCGACTGTTCAACGCTGGTTATGAAATAAAATTAAAAATTAATTAGTGTAGATAATTCTTTAAGTTAGGAATCCAGACGCAAAAAGTACTTTCGCTGAATAAATATTTTTTTTTCTGTGGATTTGGATTATACTATTAAGTTTACTTGTCTTTTCAAAAATTATAATTGTATTTTCAGGTGGGACATTGCCTCCCCCAAAGCCGCAGAGGTCGTTTCAGCAGGCCCTGACTCCATTGGGCAAGACGATTCGTTCTACTCCTCCTCCCACGGGGCCACCTCCCTCTATTCCTTCACCAAGATCTGGCCAACCTCGTCCTTTGGGTAAGCAATGACACTTTTCTTTTTCGTTCACTAAAGAAATACAAATTATTTGTGTTTATGAAAAAATACGCTCTCTAAAAAAACATATAGCTTTACATAGATAATAAAAGTTCATTACCGTAGCATTCTTAATTGCTGAATACCATCATTATTTTAATAGTTCATTATTTTTATCATAATACTATTGATTATTTGATTATTCTTGTTCTTTTTCATTTTTCAGCTGAAATAATTTATTTTAAAATTGATATCGTATTATTATTGCTCATTCATTTCATAATTAGTATTTTTCAATTAAGAACATATTTAAAAACATATCTATAGTTATTTAATGATCGAAAAACTTCATTAGCTTCAAAAATTACCACAGTGGAAAAGATCGACATGATGTGAGCGCTCAAATCAAAGACGCCCGATCTGAAACCCCCACCAAGCATAAAATAACACTACCGCTTCACGTATTGTTGCTTGCACATCTGGTGGATCCTTGAAAATGGGCACCTTTTCTACTGTTTGTAATTTTCGAAACTAATGAAGATTTTTCCTTATCTTTCCACTCTACAGTTTCTTGAAGTTACGTATTTCATATCTAGAGATAGCCCATTTTGTCTCGTAAAATTCTATAAACTGTTAAATACACGAAATAAGTTTAACTTTATCATAATATTTGCTGATAGCTATTTTGGAAAACTGAATTGTAGAATATTATTCTTATTTTTAACAGTGCCAATTGGCTCGTCGATGCCAATGTCACCAGAGAGAAGACACGAACCTCTGGGTTCGTACCGAGCTCCTCCTGACCGTCCATATTCTGTAGCTGGACAAGCAACATATCACATCTCGCCCGAAAGGCGCTACGACCCATCATATCATTCCTCGCCAGAGCGCCGTTCTCAGCAGGAGTCCGGTTACCTCTCATCACCTGAGAGGCGCGTGGATCACCAGAGGTCCTTCTCTGGTTACTCCACGAGCTCTTCCTACGAGGATTCTGTTTATGGTGGAAGCATATACGGCACAAGGTCTGGTAGTGTTACTCCTGTCATCGATGATGAAGCCAAGTAGGTTTTCCTTTCGACCAATCATATTCATTGTAAAGTGCTTACCTTCAACATCAATAATTCTCTAGAATAATTATTACTTCAATATTAATTACTTCAAATCAAACTACTCGTAGTCTTCGGAACTTAAGATAACGACAGCCTTGGTAGAAGAGGTTCGTGTTTGAGCATGTTTTAGAAAACATTTAATTTCCCGAGAACCTGTTTGATCAATTGTGGGCAAAGTTAATTAAATCTGACTAGCAAACCTTGATTAAATATGTTAGCACAAAAACGTTTTAAGTCACAGCTTTGAAAACATGCTGTAATGAGTTGTATGCAAAGAACGCTAACAGAATCGGAATAACGAATAGATGACATTGAAAGAACATGTTAAGTGACATTTTTAAAAACATTTAAAATACCTAGTTTAAAAGCAAGTTAGCGTCATTTATGTGCAGAGAAAACTAATTATATCTGACGGTTTGATAGATGATAGATATCAAAAAGCTCTTATTTGCACGTATTGGACGAACATGTCAAGTAAAATGTAAGTGAGAATTAAAACGTTTGAATTTACGTTTTTAAAAACGTAATACTATGATCTTTTGCTAACATAGAGAGCAAATTGGTTCTAACAAGTCTGGTTGATTCTAAAAGTTTGTTTTTGATCGAAAAGTAAGTTTTTGAATCAACTACTTGACGTTATTTATGCAATCGTATTTATTTTCTCGAATTCAATTCACTAATGTATATCGAAATATAACACTATTTTAATGAAACGATAATAACAGCCATTTTTATTGTGAACATTGTTAACTCTCGCGGTTGTCAGATAAAACTTTACAAAAGTTCTAATTACAATAAAACTGAAGAGCTGTCTAGAAACAAATAACAGCACATATATTTGCTCAATATTCCTTTCATGTTTTAGCTGTATATTGTTAGAAATTTATAGAAAAATTGTTAAATCAAAATTTATTTACTTGTTATTTTATCGTATTCAAACAAAACAGACGAGTAAAGATGGTATTAAAACTATTAACTGTGAAAAAATCGTTTATTGAGTGTTTTCACCTATTACGGTTAAACAATCACCTTATGAAGTCATTTCGCTTTGTACGACTGGGTACTGGCTATAGCCGAGACGGCTAATGTGTCAATCTCATGACCGGCTGAACGAGGGTTCGAATTCCAGCTTTGACACACAATATTTCTTCCACTCCTTCAACATTAATGGAGGTTTTTGAGTTGGTGACACTCCTCAATTTGTGGCACTGGATTATTGTAATTCGAAACTCTAATTTACCTATGGATGGCAGCACCATAGAGCTGCTTAACATAAAAAGTCTAGTATTTACAGTCTCTCACAATAGATGGCACCACCAGATGAACTAAGTAAGACGCATTCCACGGTTCATTTGGCAAAATACAATCTAAATCTAATATCCATAATTTAATGGAAAGCTTAACGAAATCTAACTCCAATATGTAATTAACCCTTTCGTTCCGTCAACCCACTCAGCTAAGGTGATGCGATTGAACTTTGCATCACACCGCGAGCCGTGTGCATTGCATGACGATAAGCTAATGTGTGTAATTTCTTATTTAAGTATTTCATAACAATATGTTTAGAAATTTTGCCAGTATTATAAGTAAAGATGCAATTTGAGATAATTCAAAAAATTATTAATAACTTAATTCAGCATGATAAATTTTAAAACATGGCAGACAAACTTCTGCCCTTTGTGTACGGCAAAATGGCTGAGGTACGACTCGTGCACACAGAGCGTCGCGATGTTGCCGGGTAAATACGGCGCGCGTAACGGGAGGGTTAAATTTTATTTTCTTGGTTTTTAAACTACGCTAATTGTAAATTGTTACAAAACCGTATATTTTTGAATTCACGGTTTTTTTGAAAATAGCAGTTGCAAATGATTTCAAATCCGTATAGGTAAATAAATGTTCCTAACCGTAAACTTTACGGTTAATTGGATAGATGGGCTGCTGCCGATTATTTCACCGTAATTTTAGAGTGAAAATTCTAACAGTATAATTTTTTAAATCCTTAATCTTAAAAAATAACAGACTACTCCACCTTATTTAGGTTAAGGATGGAATACATGGAACGACAGCTCGCTAGCCTTACCGGACTTGTACAAAAAGCACTTACAACTGGGCCACCTAATAAAAACATGCCGCCAAATCAACAGCTGCAGCAAATACCAACGAGGGATTGTGAGCAAGGGAAGGTGGGGAATGGAACGAGTAAGTCAAGATGTATTTTTTATTCACTATTATACGTCATTTAGTATGTGAGCAATTCTACAAATAAACGCCAAATAGGCGGCCAAAAAAAAAAAATTGGGAGGGGGGGGGCACGCTATTTCTACATAAATTTTCTTCTTTTTTACACCCTAAAAAAGCAAGAAAAAATCGTGAACATGAAATTTTTTCTTTGTGACTTACTTTAAATGACAAAATACCAATTTTAAATTTTTCCCGATTTTTTCAATTTAAGAACTTCGATTAAATTTTTTTGTTTTTGTTTTTTATACTAAAATATAATCTTATAGTATGAAATCTCTATAAATACATTTTAGAGAGACATTATAATAATATTATATTTATGTAAAAATCGTTTTATTTGAATAAATGGCTCAGATTTATCTGAGCCATTTATATCATGTCAATATATAATGTAATAACAAATATAATGTCTCTCTGAAATGTATTTATAGAGATTTCATACTATATGATTAAATTTTAGTATAAAAAACAAAAACAAAAAAATTTAATCGAAGTTCGTAAATTGAAAAAATCGGGAAAAATTTAAAATTGGTATTTTGTCATTTAAAGTAAGTCACAAAGAAAAAATTTCATGTTCACGATTTTTTCTTGCTTTTTTAGGGTGTCATTCAAATTCATGTAGAAATAACGTTACTTAGAACTTAAAAAATTACTATTATTACTATTACTATACTTAGTACTATATAACTATTACTTTAAAAAAAATTGTTTTTCGCGGCCTAATTGGCGTTTATTTGTAGAATTGCTCACATATTTTTAAAATATGCTTTGCATTTGGTTTTCTAATAGTTCTGTTTCAAAACACATTGATGGTTCAAAAGTATGCATAATTAAATAATGGGTTTGTATTATTGTAACATGTTAACAGTATGATTCTAACATGAAACTATAATATTGGAACGTTTTGTTTCCATATTATTAATACTTAATTCAATCTTCGCATGGTTTGAAATTGAATCAGATAATTTTCTAAATTAATGTATTAGGTAATCAGGCTTTGAGTTTCGATTGCTCAAGTTATGTGCCTTCCAAAGTTTGCAGCAAAGTTAAATTATCTATGGCTTAATGTTATAATATGATCCTCATCACATTATGTTGTATTTCATGAATATTTAATCTGGTATTACAACACTGTCCGACAAAGCTGTCTAATATTATTTCATTGATATATGTATCTAGTGATTATTTATGTAATAATGTGAGGACTGGAAAACAAAGCTGTTAGATTTTAATTAGAGAACATACTTTTAAGTTTTGATAAAAAATAAATAAAACATTAAGGCTGTCGAATCGTAATTTAAAAGCAACATAATGTATGAATTGTTTCTTTCAAAAATACGAGAAATATCTTTATATTTACTATATTCATTAATATGTTCGGCTAGATACATTAAATTAATGTTAGCAATTGTGTCAGTCAGATGGTTAAAATTCAAATTATATGAATTATATCATTTTTGAGGATTTATTGTGTCAATGAACAGTCAAGTAACCTGGATCTAAGATAAGAGAATCGCTACTACACAGTAAAAGCTGTGGTGTAACATCTTTCCGAATATGGTTTTGAACGGCCTAAAAACTTTATTAACCTAGGCCTAAACATGTAAATTATTAGCCTAAAAACTTTAGTCAACACCAAATCAAGCTTTCATATACAGATTAAAGAGTGTAATTTAAATATAACACTCTGAATAGGAAAAGCTTACACCAAGTTCACGCGCATTCATACCAAACGTGAATTACTTTCTCTTCGAAAAAATCAATGTTGGCACACTTTTGATATCGCCAGAAGAGTGGTTATGCAATCGAGTACGAGCTCGCGTATGATTTTATAATGTATAATATATTTTTGCTACCGTTTTGTTAAGCATAGTTCTAATTCGTCTTAATATTCTTTCTGTGTTATACGTAATTTTGTAAAGCAAACTAATTTTATTTTAATAATTATCGTGTGTATGCATCCTAAAATAACCGTTCTTACTTTGAATTGTATCGTAAAAATAATTTTACTGACTCTTATGCGCATCATATCTTATTATAATTAAAAATTTTAGCATTACTGAACAATAAAAATGGATGTGGTTACTTTACACCAATAAGTGTAAAAGAACATCTTTAGGCCTTGGTAAAGTGAAACATCTAGATCCATGATTTATTTATGACTTCACTTCATGTCTTTGGAGTAAAGTAATTGCCACCATTTCTGATGTTGAGATACTCTAAGTCTTTTACAGTGGACTATTGTTACATTAGTGTGATTCAATGCATTTTGAATACAGGGACACAATTAAAAAAAATTCTTAATTTATTGACCAACGCATACTTGATGCATCAAACAGAATTTCGACCAAAAACCGGCTTCATTTTGTTCTATAAAAGTATTCAGATGTGATGTAGGTAATCTTGGCGAAAAAAATTATCATGTTTTCTTCATACTTACCTTAATTATTTTAAACATCGCTGAAAAGTATTCTTAACTATATTCTTTAAAACCTGGCATGATAGTTCAAAATAGCATTAGATATATTTAATTGGAGTGTCATTATTTTATTTACATAACTTAATTAACTTTATAATTTTAAATTTATGTACCTTATTTTCGCATTTGTTTTGTTTTAATTTCAATGAGTGAATGATTTGTGTAAATTGTCAATGTTCAAATGTTTTAATCATAGATAGACAGGAGAGATATCAACCTGGTATAAAACCAACCCCCCTTCCCAAACCTCTTAATCATTCAGCTGTTATATATGACAATAGAGAGCATGTTAAACCCAAAGGTACTTTTGTTTTTATTTATGATTCATTATTTTGTTTGTTCTAATTTTTATTATATTTTTGTTTTGATTTTGAATTTTGCATTTATTTTTTTTACTAATTTTAACTCTTTCAATTTATCATTTCAGTTATAACTTTATGAATCATTTCAGTTTTATCTTTATTTTTAAAGTGGAACTTTTTATAGAAAGATGATACCTCGCTAACTTTTTGATCTTTTAATTAGGTTTTCAGGTACAATTTAATGATTTAATCATAATGATCAGAGAGATTAACCCTAAATTTTACAAAATACTTGGGAAATTATTCCAATTTAATTCAGACTCAAAAACGTGTTATATAAAGTAAAGCAAGTTTTATTTTTAAAGTGGAACTTTTTATAGAAAGATAATACCTGGATAACTTTTGATCTGTTAATTAGGTTTTCACTTACAATTTAATGATTCAATCATAATGATTAGAGAGATTAACCCTAAATTTTACAAAATACTTGGGAAATTATTTCAGCTTAATTCAGACTCAAAAACGTGTTATTTAAAGTAAGGCAAGTTTGTGATAAGAACCCTCAGGGCAATAGAAAAAGAGGGAGACCTAAAAGTACTTGGCGCAGGACGATCATAGTTAAAGTTAAGTTAATTTAAAAGACATAGAGAGTCAAAATATCTAGTCACAAATAGAGTGAGATGGAATACTATAATAGGAGCCGTATGCTCCAATTCGAAATAAAGAGGAATTTCTTTATAAAGCAAGACTTTTTTTATGGTGTATTTGAATTTTTGACTCTCAAAATATTTATAGTAGCCACAGTATAGAAAACATGGTCCGAATAGATCAGGCTTTGGAGTAGTTGAATTTTCGGGCCCTTTAATGTTAATTTCACTCTTTTCACACTGAATCGTATCAAGAAAGTCATATTTTTAAATTTTCATTTCTCAAAAGCCATTTGCCCTATTCGATACACATTTTGGATTTTATCAGTTAAAATACACCGTTAAAAATTATGTAAAAATTTGTACAACTTTTAGTTCAAAAACACTTTGACTGTTTGATTAAAAAAAAACTGTAAATAATTACTCGAATATTTTACGAAGAATTGTTTTTGGATGATCGAGTTTTTTATTCGTGGGACAAAATTATTTAACTATTTTAAACAGTTCCCGAAATATGGTGAAATACGCAAAAAATGAAATTAGAATAAAGGGGCTCAAACTTTCGACGACTTTCCTGTCTAAACTCAAAAACTATTCTATATTTTCATAATGAGGATTACCCCTATATTTTTAGGGACAAAAATTCAAATTCGTACTTAAGGAGGCATGTTTATTCAGAGAAAGTACATTTTTGTATCTGATTTTACGTTTTGTAACTGATTTATTTTTGTATCTGATTTTTTCATGTAACAGAATAACATATAATTGCATCCATTTTTATTTTTAACTAAAGCGTTTTGCCCCCTACTCGCTTCACTCCCCAAATTCCATCTCTTCCTTAATTAAAACTGGGTAATTTTTTTCTGAAACTAATTTTTTCTCTTAACTGAAACTGCTAATTTTTTCTCTTTCTTTAACAGAAACTGGACAATTTTTCATTTTTATTTTAAACTAATTTGACTTTTTAATGTTGATTTCTGGTATCTCTCTCTCAACTGAAACTGGGTACTTGTTCTTCTGGAACTAATTTTTCCTCTTAACTGAAACTGGTTATTAGTTTTCTCTTTCCTTAACTGAAACTGTACAATTCTCCTTTTTTTTTTTCAGTCTAATACGTTTCGCTTCACTTCCCATAGCCCATGATTGCTGTAATCATTAACTTTCTAGACGATAAAGTGATTTTTACACCAAGATTAAAACGCATTCAATTAGGGGAAGCCCGGGCAAAACGGGACACCCGGAAAAGACGGGACATCGTTTTTTCTTCTATGCGTATCACGGTAACGACATCTAAAGTGCGTTTTCAAAAAGAAAATATTGTTGTTCTCAATACGCACAATTGTTTTCGTCCGTTCACAAGGTGTTACCGAAATGCAAACATTGTTTTGTTTTTCTTACATCGTGTTAAAATATTTTTCCAGGCTTGTACGCTGTTATTTGTTTAATACATTGCGATAAATTTTTCAAAATTGTGGCACTGTAGTATTATTATTGTACGAACATAATGAGTAGTGAAAATTAAAATTTATTTGCTTAAACAAATTTTCAGATAATTATTTTGAAAAATATACTATCCGGGCAAGATGGGACAGCCAAAGTAGAATAAAAGTGTAAAATAAGAATTAAACTTTTCGGATTTTGCAAAAAGCATAAAAAATAAGGTAATACTAACAAAAATTATATATAAACTAGCAATTATAACTTACTGTTACTGAAAGCTGGATTCAATGTTAAGATTGCTTAGAATGGACTAATGAAGCGTGCTGTGCTTATTCCGGTTTTGGCCGCTTCTTATGCAGTAACTGTGATGTTTAGGAACGTTTTTTTTTTGTCGATTATTCTTTTATTCTGACATTAATTTCTGTGATTTTTTGAAATAAAATTATGTGTCCCATCTTGCCCGGGCAAGATGGGACAATGTTCTATTTTTGTTTATGTTAAGTTATTATTATTGAACTTTATTATTTGTTTATTTTCTGTATAAGATATGTAAGAGCAATATTCCCCCCATATGTTTACAATATAAAAGATATAAAATTGCTCTAGTTTACTATTTTTTAAACCAAGTCTCCTTAAGCGGTCCATCTTGTCCGGGCTTCCCCTAAATGATAGTTCACGATTCTAATGGGATGAAACTTAAACATAATCATTTTGCATTTTTTATAATTTTTATTTCACTGTAATCATTTTTTTATCCTTTTTCAGAAGTCCATCTTACTCCTGAAATGTATGTTCAACTAAGACATTTAAGGAAGCAAACCAAGGACCTGAGGTTAGAAGTGAGGAACTTACGTAGGATAGCTCAAGCCCAATCTGTCACAGCCAGAGACACCGTTAGAGAAACCTGTGTAAAAATTAAAGTGAGACATTTATTCTCTAATCTTCTCTAATCAAAATAATAAAAAAATAGCCTAATAGCGATATTTACTTTTACGCAGTGATTGTTGGTTCACGTGGTGGTTTAAATTATCAATATTGTTATTTTCCACTTGTATTGAGAAAATATCGTAAATTAGAGTCGTGTAACAATTAACCCCTTAACGATCGGTTAATTTTCAAGAAAACGGTCATAAAAGTGCCGATTTTTTTGGCTTTTGTATTTGTATTACGTGTTTGATAAGTGCGGTCATCTGGTTTAAAATAAACTAACTATCTACAATTACCTTAAAAATATCCTGGTACTGCCATCTGATGTGTAAAATGAGAAATAAAATATTTTCCGGGCAAAAGAAATTAATTAGTTTTATTCTTATTGGCGCATTACTACTGAACATTTCAGCCCGTCAATATCACGGGAGCGAGAAATAGAGGACGAAACCTCACCCCGTCATTCTCACGGGAGCGAGAAGGAAGGGGTTAAACGTGTAAAACATGTGTAAAAATTGAATTAATTGAAGAACTGATTAGGTTCTTGATTCAGATCACTTACCTTTAAATTATTCGAACTAATTATTTGTTTCGTCTGCGTCTAATCCACATTCCTATCAAGTATCAAAATGTTACTCTTTCCTTAACTGAAATTGTGCAATTCTTTGTGTGCTGCACCTTTAAAAAAAGATAATCTAATTGATTTAAAGTATTTTGAAGTTTAAAATACATTATTTTCTAGTTTTTAATTTCACTTGAATGTTCATTAAATCAAAATATACAAAGTTTTCTGAAGTTGTCTTTCGTATTTGTTCTGATCTCGGTAGCGATTAAAGTAAAGCTGGTTTTGTGCGTTTAAAATATTGAAGTGATAGTGTATTTTCTCTGATATATCTGAAAAACTGCTTGCAAACTGAATTGGGATTTTTGTCTTCACTAAATTGCAATAGCGAACGACTTGTGCTCCAAACCTTAAAATATCTTAAGAGCTGCTGAGACTAGAACAGTTTACATACTATGAAGGACAATTAAATTAGTAATAGGCACTGCTTTGAAAGTTACGTAACTTTACGTTTCATTTATGCATACATGAAGATACTGTAATATGTACTCGTGAAGATAGCTGGCACCTGGCATGCGCTCCTTTATGCATACGTGAAGATACAGTAATATGTACTCGTTAAGATAGCTGGCACCTGGCATGCACTCCTTTATGCATACGTGAAGATACAGTAATATGTACTCGTGAAGATAGCTGGTGCCTGGCATGCACTCCTTTATGCATACGTGAAAATACTGTAATAGGTACACGTGAAGACAGCTCGTGTCTGGCATGCACTCCTTTATGCATCCGTGAAAATACTGTGTTTGTCAATCAGTCGTTTTAATTACAACATTATAGGTATAATTTCGGATTTAGGCGTCTTTAAATATGGACAAAATTGTATTCACTCGACGCATGAGCCATTTAATTTCTGAAAGCATAAGGGAACTAAGATTTTCTAGGTCGACTGTTGGAAGAAATGCACGAGGGAAAACGAATTAACAATTTCTAGCTGTATATATAGTTACCACAACGCGTTCAAGACCGCATAAATGAGATGCAACGCCACACAATTTGTCTAGAATGCATGTCCTTAATTCATACAAAATTTGAATTTTCGGGCATATACACTCTTTACTTAGTCTTTACTTAAATCTTAGAAATTCTCTTCGTGTTTAATCTTTAAATTAGACTAGTTATTCTAAATTTAAATCTGTATTTGTTTTATATCACTGGTTGGTCTTCTATGCCTTAAGTTATTCATTCTGTGTTTCAGTCTATGTTAGCACACGCTCAATCTGGAGAAGACCAGGTTTGTGCAGAAAGATTGAGAGTATCTCGAGAAGAGGATCTCTACAGACAAGATGTAACTAAACTAGAAAAAGACCTCACGTACGTTTCATTCACTTTTAACAAAAACAAAATGTTTTGCTTAAAATTGAGTGTTTTAGTTGACAATTATCTTCTTTATTTTTAACTGTGTATAGTTAAACGTAAATTAGTACTATATGGGGCTAGGATGCCGACATTGGCAACCATCATCTATATAAGGGTACCTCCAAATAGAATTGAGTTAACATGTCATGTGTATTAGTGAATTAGAATGGAATAACTGTAGTGGTAGCTACACTACAATGCTCCTCGACGAGAATTTTATCTGGGATAGAATTCGATGAATGGATATCACTAATTGATTCATTGCTGTTTTGTGAGACGCCGGGAGAGAGACATTAAGATCACTAAACTTTTGAGCCCTGTCTATAAGAGTTGTATTAAAATCACGTGCGTAGTCTCTCCTATGTTGATATTAACTGTCAAGTGTATACAGGCCCCGTTGTGTGTGATCGAGACTGAGTGGCAACAGAGCGAGGAGGACAGAGTAGGCGTGTTCAGATCTCGTCCAAAAGTCCCAAATGTAGAGGCTAGGCTGCCGACAATGTCAACCGTCATCTATCTAAAAGTACCTACAGATAGAATCGAGTTAATATGTCTTATATACTTTTGAATTGGAATTGAATAATTGTAGTGGTAGCTACGCTACAACTATTCTATAATTAATAGTTCGAATCGTAAACTGAAAAATATAAGCGTGATAATTTTCAAAATTTCTTTTTTAAAATGAAACAAAGATATCTTAATTAGATCATAATAATAGTGATTATATAAAATTTAATATTTATATTTTTGTAAGATGCTAAAATAAGACGATGATATATCGACTTCAAAAAACTAACATCAATAGTCTATTAGTCAAATATTTAGTTTTCGAGCAATTTTTCAAGGGATTCAATTTTTTTAGCTGTTTTCTTTTAATAAAATATTTTTAAAAGAACGTACATTAATTAACATGAAATATGTTTATGATACACCCCAGCCCAGAAATACCCTGAGCACGAGAAATAGAGGGCGGAACTTCATCCCATCCTTATGATGGAAGCGAGAAGGTTGGAGTAAAGATGATACTAGTCTTATAAGATTAACATGTCTTTATACTAGTCTTTTAAGATTATATTATATTAATCTAGAGGAGTAAATTCTTTTACTAATCTTTTAAGATGATTCTACTCTAGATAAGTAAGACCTTATACTATTCTTTTAAGATACTCGTATAGATCAGTAAGTCCTTATATAATCTTTAAATATGATCCTAGCCAAGATGAATAAGTCCTAGAACTAGTCTTTTAGGATTATGCTAGTATATATGAGTAAGTCCTTATATGGTTTTTTTTAGATGACAGTACTCTAAATGAGTATGTCCTTATACTAGTTTTTAAAATGAAAACTTTTTTTTCTGTTCAAATGAAATTAATGCATACCTTTACAAATATATAACTGTAATACTATGATAAAGCTAACGTTTTGAGATCTAAAAGTAAAATTCAAGTTATCTAAAAAACATAAGTATAGCAAATGCTTCACTACTGCTTATGATTATTAAACGCGAGTGATGTTTCAGAATTCAATTCAGCTTTCGAGGAACTGTGAAAAATATAAAATAAGCGTTTTTTGATAATAATAGGTCCAGAATTCAGTTTGCATTAATATAATATCACATTTTAAATATGGTTTTAGCATGTGTAATTGCATTCGCTAAATACCTTAATTCAGACGTATAAATTACCTTAAATTCAGATGTATTGGCATATGGTCCAATGATAAATTCTTATTGTCAGGATTCGAACCTAGAGCCTCATTCCGAGTTGGGTTTAGAGTCATTTTTATAAAAGTTATAAGTTAAGCATTGCCTAAAATTTAGTTTTTTTTTTTAAAAAAATTAAATATTTCTTTTTTTATAAAAAAAATTATCATGCATTATATTTTATCAGTTATTTGTTCGATTTAATGGATTATTCATGAATTTGTTTTCTTTTATAAATGCAGTGAATTAGAAACTCATGTTGAAGAACTTCGCAGTAACGTAATCAATAGGAAGTGTCGAGTCAACATGTGTGATGTAGAAGGAATGGCACTTATATTAAGTAGAGCTAGTAAAACCGTTGCTGACTTAAAAGGTAATCACTTTTTATCCTTAATCTAAATAAAAATCACATTTTAATGTTATGATTACATTCTTTAAAGTTATGAAAAAAAAAACTATATACTTTACAATTTAAAATTTTATTAAATAATAAAATATATTTAAGGTTTGCTAAAAGTTGTTTTTATTTATGGAATTATCTTTGGATAAAGGAATTTTATAAATGTGTGCAAAAGTTTTTTAATTCGCTTAAAAAGTTTTCGAGATATAGTGAAATACGCTAAAAGGTAAAATAAACATTAAAGAGTTTAAACTTTGGACAGCTCTCATGATCAAATTATTGGAATAATATTTTCCTAGATTACCCCATATATTTTTGGGTGAGAAATTCATCGAAATAAAGGTATGCTTATTCAGAGAAAGAACGTTTTTGCGTTTGATTTCTTAACTTAAAATATCGTCTACACTTATGACCAGGGCTGAAAGCGAGACGGAAAAGAGAAGTAACTGGCAGTAAAACCATTTCAGTTGTAGCTAGTTTTTGGGAGGAGTTTACTTATTCTTTTTTTCAAACTGACCAGCAATATCTACTTTTTCTTGGAAAAGAAGCAGTTTTATATAAATGCTAACATTATAAAAGAAATCTTGATAATTACAGATATTTTATTTTTCTTGAAAAAAATGTTAGAATTAAATATCTTCCGTACCAGATTTTACTCTTTTCCGTCCTGCTATATAAGGGCTTTCAGCCATGCTTATAACATATTTGAGGTCATTCCCTCAAACTATTAAAATTGAGTCCTAGTACTTGAAAATTCGATCATTAGATCAAAAGTTATTCAGGGTAGTCCGTTTTTTATTTTGCATACTGAACTTCTGAAAATTGGTAATAAATATTTCTTTGGGACTAATATGCTAATTATTTGATGAATATAAATGTATTTTTTAAAAAATACATGATAAATGAATGAAACAGTTTTTGCAACTCAATTTAGCACCAAAAAACGAAGCATATTTTAATTTAATTGTAATGACCACCCTTAATAATCATTTTTAGAATTCTACCCGAATCCTACCACGTATAAATGATCGCAACTGAAACAAAACGAATCGCTACTATGAAAGGCGGGACTGAATGCATAAAAACATGTTTTATTGATAAATGAAAAGTTTACATCGAAGTTTCATTATTCCATCAAACTGGCTCTAAAATTTTTTATCCAACCTTCTTCACTAGTGTTAGCGTTTCTGAAACTCCGGTTATGCAAATTTTTTTATTCGTTTTTGACAACAATTTTAAAAATATGCATTAACCTCTTCAAGACTAGTGGAGGAGAAAGCTTCCCCAGACCTGGACTTTAAGCGAGTATTCACAGTCACAGGATATTCCACGTTAATCCTAATTTCATTTTAAAACTCATATAAAATTAGTACTGCAATTAAATACGCTGAAATTCTCTTTTTGATAGTACCTGAATATACTGTAATAAAATGTCCGTGATATTTTAAAAACCAATTTCAAAACTGGCCCAAAACATTTGTTGTTGTAGTAGTTCATTTACGTCGCACTAGAGCTGCACAATAGGCTATTGGCGACGGTCTGGGAAACATCCCTGAGGATGATCCGAAGTCGTGCCATCACAATTTTGATCCTCTGCAGAGGGGAGGGCATCCCCGCTTCGGTAGCCCGACGACCTGCCCGCGAAGTCGAGAACTTTACGGTAGAACAGTTTAACAAGGACCAATACCGCACACCCGTGGTCCCTACGCAGACTGATGATCCAAGTTGTCACCCACCCGCACACTGACCGCAGCCAGTGATGCTTGACTTCGGTGATCTACTGGGAACCGTGTCTTAAAGATCAGTCCACTGCGGGACCCCAAAACATTATTTAGCAAAACCCCCAAACTGCAACAGTCTACATATAATAAGAATTCGATCTTTTATCCACTTCATCAAAATAAAACCAAATACCTGCCCAATCCTCTTGAAAGTAGAATGCGTGCAGTTGTTTACATGTTTAAATACGCCAAATAAAAAATTTAAAAGAAAAAAACATCCGAATTTTTAAGTGCATATTGAAGATCTAACTTTTTTGAGACATTATTCGGAATTAAAAAGGCACTTAAGGGGCCATCTAATGTTGTTTAAAAAATGAAATAAACCATTCCAAATTGTTCACGTGATCACGGGCTGCTGGGGACTCTTCTCATATATATGATACTGTGGTCAGTGAAGGGAGAATAGAATTAAGGATGAGGAAGGAGTTAGAAGTAGCATTTACAGAACACCATGTATTTATTTTTTATTTTGATGACATTCACCTCAACTCTGTTTTTATATTAATAATCTTTTTGATTGTGATTCTAAAGTACTTCTCTCTTTTTTAGCACGATTCCCTAATTTGCAAGATAGCTTGAAGTCAGTAATGGCAGCTGAAATGGAAGTGGTAGTTAGAGAAGAAAAGTAATTTATTTTATAAAATTACTATATTTATTTTTTTAATTACGAAAATTTTTTTATGAAGTGTATAATTTAATTCTGTATTCATGCTTTGACTATTTAACGCTGCACGTATTATTAATATTTTCATTTTTAATTATTATCGAAAAATAATTTTCATTTTTTTTTTTAATTATTGTTATTAAAAAATACTTAATTTTATGAAAGTTCTCTAAAGATTTAGGAACAAATATTTATTAATTTCTTTTTGCTAAGGAAGTAATTCTTCTTTTGATAAATACAGGTACCGTGTCTTGTGGATTTGCTAGTGACTAGGGATTGGTAATATATCAATGTATTGTAAAAAATAAATATTGTTCACATTTCACATGCTAACTTTTATTTATATTACATTATGAGCAAGTTATTTCAGTCGCTTTTAAGTCTGTAAAAAGTTTAAATTATTTGTATTTTTGATGTATTGAAATAAACAGATTTCAATGATTAAAATATTTCAAAGATTAAAATTCAAGATACATTCAGCTTTTTATGTGAAAATAACGTTATTATTTGTTATTGTTCGTCAATTACTTAGAATCTTTCTAATTTAAAAACTTTATTAGGACAACATAGCTTTTTAGATAATATTTGAATACATATTAGTACTACCTTTTTTGAAAATATTTCATATATATTTTATACTTATGTTACCACTTTGCGATGTCTTTAGTGCAATTTGATACCAAATACATATTTACATATACATATTTATTTACCAAAGACATTTTTCTATAGAAAATATGTATATTTTTTATACTAACAATTATTTATATTTACTGTTTTTGAAGTGATGTTTACCTGTATACTGTTTCAGATTCCTTAAAGATGAACCTGATAGACTAGAAAATGCTTTGCGCCGCTGTAAAAAGCTTACGGGGACTTTAGTTACATTAAAGCGGTAAATATATTAATCTTAATTTATTGTCTTTCTTTACCAGTAAACAGATATTATTAATCAGAAATGCAAACTTTAAAATATCGAAATTTAAAAAACATTTGTTAAAGGAAGAAATTTCTTCCACTTGCCGCTGCTTTTTTCAAAATATCATGTCTTTTCTATCCTAAAAAAATATCACTTTTTTTAAACTGACGGCTTTATGGCTTTTTAAACTCTTAAATATAAATATTTGAATTCTTTTTTTTTTTTTAATTAATAATCTCAGCTTCATGATTGTTTCCGCAAACTATTGTATTTTTAAGAAACTTGTGTGCGATTTTAATTCTTAATATGCATTCTATTTATTTCTCAATAAGTTTACTACGCATTTGCTTGTCTAATATTCATTGATAAAATATTTTTATTAAAATAAAAGCTTAATTTTCCACATTTTGTGCAACAAAAAGTTAAATGGTTTTTAACTTAGAATTAATTTTTTAATAATAATTTAGGGAATTTGATTCCTTCCTTTTTTCTTTTTTGAGATTTTATAAGCTACAGAATGTTGTATAAACGTCTCACTTTCACAGTGTAGCCAACAATATTGGAGTTCTGATGTTTAAATGCTATAAAAATTTAAGAATGCAATGCAAAATTTTGTTTAAATACGTTTTTTATTTGAATTCGTAAAACATCGATGAATAATATTCCATAACCAAAATTATATTTTCATTTATAATAAATAAACTAGAAATAAATAGACAAAATACTTTTTTTGATACAATATATTATAAAACTTAAATATTAAGCAGTTATATGATAAAAAATACGCTTTTAAATATAAATTTTAATGACATTTTATTTACTAAAATCGACTGTAATATTATCTTCGTTGATGCATTGATAATCATGCGATAATAATTTTATGAACTGATTAATAATGTCTAAGTTGAATTGTAAGTAACTTCCAATATAATACCATTTATCAATTATATATTTCTCATTTAAAACGTAACATATTATTCAATCAATATTTTAAAATAATATTTCTTCCAACTTTTGTTTCAATTGCCAGAAAAGCATATCTTTTAGAAGTTTTAGTTATTTCTAAATTTTAAATTATGTGTTTTAATTTATTATCTATTTCATTATGGAAGGAAATCTCTCAAGCTTCTATGTTTTCAGTATACTTATCATAATTAAAGATTAAATATAAGACTAACGGGAATATAATCACACTTGATTGCTTATTTATTGTCATGTGGTCAGTAAAAACTACATTTTTATCAGGGGTCATTTTTGAGAAATTCGGGTCTGTTAATGGACCTTTGGTAAAAAATGTCCCTTCACCGATATTTTACTTAGAAAGCAGACGTTTCATAAAACCCTTCTTTTGAAAAATCTATGACGTTTTTAATCTTAATTTTAAAATTAAACTCCTGAAAAATACATGATTTTTATATTTTTTTGACCAAGTCTGGACCTTGCTTTCAAATATTTATAAAAATTAAACCCTGACTGAAAGAACTTCATTTTACTATTATTATAGATTCATAAAATAATGAGTAAATTTTTCAAACTTTCACAAAAATTCTAGGTATATATACCAATGGTTGTTTTTTCACAAATTTGTAAACAGGACCGTAATTTTATAGATTCATAAAATAATGAGCAAATTTTTCACAACTTCACAAAACGTCTAGGTATACCATTGGTAGTTTTTTCACATAGTATTTATAAACAGAACCGTAATTTTACAAATTCTAAAAATTTTGAAAAAGTTTTACACAGTATCACGAAAGCAAAACATTTGACAAAAAGTCTGCTAATTAAATGGGATTTTTTGAAATAAACTGTTTTTTTAACAGTATTCTATTTCCCTATAAATTCTTTAGTTTTTAGTTTGTATAATATGTTACGTTTTAATATGCCCTGTTAATCTGTAATAATTATACTAATTTATTCTGAATTAAAGGGAAAACAATGATGTGATAATTTCAAAAATAAAATATTGACATAAATGCATTTTAAGTATGGCCTGATTTAAAACTATTCAGCACATTAAACATACCCAAGGTTTCACCTCTAAGGTATGTTTTAGGAAAAACGGCTAAAAATTAAGTCAATAAAGCATGTCAACACATTAGTTAATATTTAAGTGAAGAAAATTTAACTATTGAGTAACAGAAAACTAATAACCTCAAATCCTATTGGTTATAAGAGGGAAAAGACAGGATCTAAAAGGTAATAGAAACTCCTCATAGTTTTAATAAGCTATCAAAGTGGTTTTGATGTTTTTTATACCGCTTTCCTCTCTAGCAATTTAACAGATTACTATAGCATCGGTTTTCTCTTTTCTTAAAATTTAATTTGTCACTTGTAAAGTGTATACCTAAATTGAAAAATGTACCTTAAGAGCGAGGATTTCTACCGTAATAAAATTAAGTAGTCTCATTTTGTGTTTAGTATCATGCCTTCACATCGTTGTTTTCTCTTAAAATGTATTTTATATCAATTTTTCTGCTTTATTTCTACAGCTGCAATTGTAATTTGTATTGCTTATTCAGATGTTTATAGCATTTTTAAAAATATTGAAACTTCTATACATAATATTTTACATTTAGTTAGTTGTAAAATTTTGAAGTTATTTGTTTTTAAGAGTTCTAATCAAGTTTGAAGAATATTAAAAAAGAATGTTGATAACTTAATCCACTTGTCATCAACGTTTCAAAATTGCTTTCGAAAATTTTATTTTTTCTGCACAGCTCTCTTTCTTTTAATGAAAAAAAAAATAAGAGAAAATTAAAGAAATCTAGTAATGTTGTCATTGTTAAACGTTGTAATGAATGGATTAAGTTCAGTAAATAACTTCTAACAAATAAAATTAATTCTTAAATGGCACGAATAGTTACTTATTTACATTTTTGAATCTTAGCTCCTTCAAACTTGCTTATTTTGCATTGTTTATTTTAATGGCATATAATCAATGCTCCTAAATTATTATTTTTTAAAAAACTTGTTACATATATTTTAGTTATGTAAATTAAATTGGTAGATTTGATGTTTTTCATATATTCTGTGCAAAAAGTTCTAAATAAAAGCTGCTGTTTAAAAAAATCTATTAAACGAAGATATTCAAAACTAAGTGCTAATTTTTTGGTCTCTGTGAATATAAAAATAATTAAAATAAAATTTTATACATTCTTTAATGTTATGTGTAATGTGTAAAAGCTTGAAGGAGTTACTATTTTACAATGTGCTTAATAATTATGATTAGTTTGTTTGATTTTATTATCAAAGCACAGTGAGCAAAATAAAAAATGAATCACCCTTATTAACGTTTGATACAATGAACGGATATTCACTTACTAAGAGACTATCTTAATAATTTGAAAAGCATGACACAAATATGACAATTAGATAGTGCAGATGGTAGTTTAAGTGACAAAATCACACATAAAATAAGCAAACTTTTTTGACAGATTTGTCTAGTGAGATTTCGAGTAAGTTCAATCAAGAGAAACCGAAAACTTGAGTATCAAGCTAATCTATAAAAAAGAGTTTCTCAAAATAGAGTATTAAAAGTGTCAAAATAGCTCTGAAAAAAAATGAAATATAAAAACCTCATGTGTTCATTATTGAGTACAGTGACATACTCAAATTTAAAACAGTATATATTCATTTTTAAACAAAATGCATGCAAACATTTGTGAGAGAGATGTTTATTGGCTGATGACAGAATTCAAATCAAAAACCTCCGTTCATAGTTGAATGCTCTAACCATCATGGAAAAGTGTGTACATTTGAGTCCAGGGAAAGTTAGGAAGCTTTATTAAGTGGCCGTTTGGACTGAACTGATTCTGAATACATGAGTTTTTCAAATTTGTATTTGTTTTGAAGCTATTTTGACACATTTTTGATCAATTTTAAAAAATCCTTTTTTACAGTGTATGTTGAGATATGTGTGTTCGTCATTTTTAATTTCGAGAACTATTAAAGCAAATTAAAGCTTTTTGTGCATAATTGTAGAACTTATTTACAGGAAAATTAGTTTATAATAATCGTATATTTTTTTTTATAATTTAATTTAATGATCTTGAAAAAAATTGTTTTCAGAAATTGAACATTTATATCTTATGATGCAGGATCATATCATCTTGTGAACCAGTTTTGAAGTTTACATCATACGAAACTTTGTTATTGTAAATGCTAAAATTCAAAATCTAATCAAATCCACTCAAATTCTACCAGCAAATGTAAAAACTGAAAAAACTATTTTATTTTTGAAATTTATTTCTGCAAAATTACCCAGTTTCATTCCAGTTGTGAGATTTGATGATTTAAAATTATACAATGCTACAATTATTATGCTTTTCAGTTCAATATTTTTCTATGATAGCTAAATTAAATAGCAAAAATTATTATCTATTGAATTATTGTCTAAATTACGGCTGCCTCAATTTTTAAGAAACAAAAATCCTTAACTATTAAAGAAAAAGTATGTTTATTATGATAGTCATTTTTGATGTCTGTTTCTGTTTTTTATATTATGTACACTAATAAAGATATTTAAGTTGTGACTGCCGAACTCTAAGGATAATGTCTTGGTACGTGAAAATCCTTTTTTTAGATCAAAAGTTATTATGGTTGATTCATATTTTTTTATTTTGCCAATTGTACAAATACTAGTGTGATGGCTCACTTTTAACTTAATTTAAATTATTTTATTTATCATTTTAATTACATATTTTTATTTAAAATTAAACAACTTTACACTTGGGGTCATACAACAGTATTATACTTTAAAAATATTGAGCTTTTATGTGTGTTTTCTTTTTATCATTTGCAACTTTTCCTGCTTTTGTTCTTTTTTGTTTTCGTTAGCTTATTACTTATAATTTTCGTCCTGGTATTTTCACCTAACACTCCATTAAGTTCTATATTGCTTATAGAATCATACGAAGTGTTGCAGCACAATAGCATACAACTAGTTATTTGGAAATTAATGTTGCATGTTAGTTAAATTTTACTTATCCATCGTTCAAAACACATCAAGCATTTATTTTTAGAAAATTTGTACTATTTCTATAGTCTTCTTCTTTATTTCAAAAATCGGTACTATTTTCTATTAGCTTAGGAAAAATATACTTTCAAATATCGTACCTTGGAATAATTCCTCTAACATATGTTAGACCGAATGTTGATTACAAAACTCTAAATTTTTGGATCCATTTTTATAAAAATATTTTTGATGTACCCCACATGTATAGATATTTGTAGCATGCTTAAGTAAAAATTGAGATTGTACACTAAAAATATTGTTTGTTTTTTTTAAACTTGTCGAGGCAATTTTTCCTTCTGTTACTCTTTCTCTGATATTTGTAACAGAACTAGTTCCATTCGTTAAGACATTTGTTAAGAAAGAAATAGGAGATACGATTTTAAAAAAAAGACAGATAGAAATTTTTTAAAGTTTAATTAAAATGGTAGTTAATAACGAGTTTAAATAGATAAGCTTTAATAAACGTTGAAAAATAACCATAATTATAAATTGTTTCTTAATTTATTTTTTTTTGAAAAATAAGAAAAATTTGAAATTTATTTCATGGAATGATTAAAATGCGATATTTTTGCTTTTAAAAATAGAATCTTTTATTTAAACACTTAATCGTTCTTTTAACTGTAACTGTATTGCCCAATACATAGCCGCCAACATATCATTCATTAATTCAAAAAACTTTCTGTTTCTGAGAATTATAACTATCCTACAGATGGGACAAAAACTGCTTCTAAGCTTATGTTTTTATGTGACAGTTTTATTTTTAGTTTCCTTAAATTTAGTTTTCTTAAGGTGTTTTATTCTTTTTTTAGCCCACACATTAATTATTTTTACATTTTTAAACATGTGTGCTTTTTAATTTCTCATGCTAAAGTTCAGAACTGTGTATCTTGCTGTTTGTTCTTTTGCTAAATTTTTCAAGCTAATTAATTTTTCTTAATTTTTTTTTAAAAAAAGACAAACATTTAGCGATTGCACTGTATCATTTATGGCATGTAAAAATTGTAAAAACTAGCGATTTTAGTGCTAGGATGGATTCTCCTCTTTTTTGCCAATGGGTTGTTCTTTTCTTTTTTCTTTTCCCTTTTGGCAGCCTGGCCACTGCGAGCCGCCATCACACTGACGTTTGAACACGATGCCAGGGACACAAACCAGCTGTTATGTTCAAACAAAAGTACTTTTTTCAGTTTTCTTTTCTGCTTAGTTTTGCAGCTGGTTATTTTTTTGTTCTTTTTTGTGTTTTCCGTCCCGCCAGCTTGGCATCTGTGCAGGAGCAGCGTCACACTGGTGCTCACACTACCCCCGAGAAGTCATCATCCTCTGAAGGCAACCATTCAGACGGGGAAGTCCATAACATTAAGGTAAGATCTTCTTTTACTTTGACACATGCTAAAACCTAATTCAAACTTACTATTTTATTAAACTATTGAAAGACATGTTAAGTGAAGTTGTGGTAGAGCATGTTAAGTGAAATTTAAAATATTCACATTTTCGAGTTTAAAGAACATGTTGTGTAAGGAGTATTTCCATATCGGTATCTGTTCAATTCAACTACAATTGCTTGCTTGAGGTGTCAAAGTGCAAAGGTGTCAAGGTTGCAAAAAAAATTAAAAAAGAAAAAAAAACAAAGCTGCTGCTACGAGTTAATTCACTGCAAGTTTTTTCCCCCTATTTGATGTCTTTTGATCTCATGTGCTCATGGCAGATTTTTACCAGATTTTGGCACCATTTTGGAGCAGTACCGATAATATGGAAATCATCCTTCCCTATTGGAAACTCTTATTAATAATTTATTTAGCTAAGTTTACTATGGAAGCCATTCTTAATGAGGGAAGCTGTTTCTATGTACCAAATGTCTAAAAATGAAAAAAAAGAAAAACAAAAATGAAAGTTTTATTGCATTATGCTTAAGAAGGAAATGTATTCTTCAATAATTTCACAATTAGTTACAAAGTTAATCACCAGGTGTAGCTGCTAAAATAGCGTTTTGTTTTCTAAATAACCCCCATTTGCAGCAGCTACTTGCCACTAACTAAGGAAAAACTAAAGAACAAATGTCTCTGTTGAAGGAGCCTAATACGCACCCAAAAATATTGTTTTTATGGTTTTCCCAGTAACGCTATTAATTGACGAAATCTGTAACTAAGAATAAATCCTAAGCAGAGTACATCAAACCCCACATTTCTGTCTTTTTTTTTAACTGATTTTTTAAACTCTTCAGTCATTTTGGGGACTATCATACAACCTCCTGATGTTTCTATACATACTAAAGCTGATTCTCTAATTTTGTTTGCATTGCGTCACGTGATATATTCCTCCTTTAAGTTCTTTACTATTCATTATCATATCTTACTCATACCAAGTGCCATTTTGAAAAACTTAAATATTATTACAATTGTGTGATGATTTCAACCCTAAAACTTGTGATTTAATAACATGGTTTTTCTTTCATGTGGGTACATTTTTATTATGTGCATATTTAATTGTATTTAATAGATACAGATCCGTCAGAGACTTCATAAACAATTGTTTAAAATATGAAAGTATGTTTTAGAAAACATTTTCATAGATATTTCACTTTGCACACCTTATTTTCAGTAAAAATGTTTTCACAACTTTAAAACTCATAAAAATATTGAATTGAAACGATCTTCACAATTCTCCTAAATATCACAGATTTAACTAAACAATTAAATAATATGCTTTTTTTTGTTTTAAATATTTATTTAATTAAACCATAATTTATTATTTTTTTAATAAATATATATTTTTGTTTTTCTCATAAACATTTATCAATTGTTCAATTGAAACTTAATCTAAATCAATCAAATTTCAATCTCCTAACTTAACTTTGAAACCCAATCGAAGTTTTTCAACGCATGTCAAAGTTTTTTTAAGCAAATATAATAACCTATTACTCGCTTTTATATTTTTTACTTTAACTCACTAACTTACATAATTTTGTGAATTCATCGTCCATTTCAAATTGTTGCTTGTAATCTAACCACTATCATTTTTAAACATGTTCTAAAATTCATGTATAAATAAAAATCCACTTCTAGTTTACTTGATATCAAATTATGTGTTCTGACGGTAAAGATTAATAAAATATTACATTTATATAATTTAATACCTATATGTTGCTTCGTTACCTCATATATGTGAGTAAAATGATAAGCAACTTTAAAAGCCCGATGGTTATAAGCGAATGGATACTAGCTGATTATAAGCCAATGAAAGTCTTGCCTTTGTATTTATTTATTTCGTTTAACAAATCTGATATCGCCAGTATTGTATAATGAAAAAGAGCTGATTTACCACTCTAAAAAATGTGGTAAACAGTTGAAAATCTCATTTATGAATTTAATTCATGAAAACGTCCACAGAAATAAATTGTTCTATTAATCTCATTTACTAACTTCGTTATTCAAACGCTCTGTTTTATTTAATTTTAGAATCATAAATCAATTTCATTACATTAACGTTTTATTGGCTAAATAATGAAAACATATGTTTAAAAAATTGAAATTAATGGATTGAAAAATTAGCGACGTTTTATTCTATTTACAATTATTTATCGATAAACAATATATATATATGCAATTATTTATCGATAAACAATATTTATACAATCATTTTTTGATAAATTTAATACTATGACTTAATATTAGTGTGTAATATAGATTCCTGAGTCATAACTTAAATCCTTTTCGAATTGTTTAATTGAATAGTGAAAAAAAAGTTATTGATCAATACACTTTTGTTTTAAAAAATATTACTTCTGAAATCATTTATTTTAAATTTGAAGTGAGAAACAGAATTAAATTATTTTTCAATTTCGATATTTAAATTTTAAAACTGCAATATGTACAATGTAGCTGAACCATATTTAGAATTATAATTAGAATAATAATGATTTAGATGGACGCTGTGTGTTTGTAGAAATAAATGTTTAAAAACTAATTTATAAATTACTAGTTTTTTTCTTTTTTTAAAAAGATCTTTTTTCTTAACTTAATATCTTGAATGTATTGAATTTTTTTTTCTCTTTATTTGGAACAATTTGTTGCAATTTTTTGTTAATTGCCATAAATCTGTAAGAATATTTAAGTGTGATAAATTATTTCAAAATAAGTAACACTAGTTCAAATTTATATTTCATGCTGCATTGAAATATACCGAATTAACTACTTATTTCACAAATGGTATCCCACATACACCTAAAATATTTTGAAACTTAACTTTCTTTTAATACAACTCGGACAATAATTTTCTAGAATTATACACGTATTTCTATAAATAGATCAACAAAATTTCAATTTCAGTTCAATTAAATTACAATTTTTGGAAATTGGATCCTTACATTGTAAACCTGTATCTAATACAAACTTTGTCAACAAATTAAAACGATTTTTTTCCACTATGCAGCAAACAATGTCATTTTTACAGTTTCCTTTTTTTGACATATTTTGCTTGAAAATACAATATTGTGAAAAAAATCAAAAAGAGTTTGATTTTTAACTTAAAATTATCAATTAACTAGGAAAGTTTATCAGATAACACCCTTTGTATTTGCGATGTTTGTATTAAAATAATTTGTTTTTAAGAAATGTAAGAGCATCGCACAATTTAATATTCAACCAAGTAGCTGGCTACATAATTATAAGTTCAGTAATTTGTTCGTTACGTCTTAAATAAAACTAAAATACTTTCCAATAGTTATTGCACTTTTTTTTAAACTATTAGTCTTTACAAGGAGAAAAAAAATTCTAGTAAAATTACCGTACTGTATGATAATAACATTTCTGGTAAAAACATAAAAAAACACCATGATTCTGATTAATACAGCAAAAATATATGGTATTTAAACCATCAATTTGGTAATACATCATTCGTATGGTAACAGTTTACCAGAAATTCTGATATTCAAACTTATAGTTCTTATAACCACACATTTAGTAAAAAGTACCATACCACAAAAAAATTAAATTTCATCAAATAAATGGGTTTTTTTAGGCCATGTTCTGAAGTATTATGATAAAATTACCAAATTTTACTACATTTATTAGTAATATTTTATTATTTTACTACCTTATTATAAAACAATATTTTATTGTTATATTTACCAAAATAATTACTAAAGAGCTTCGATAAAAACTACTGAGCTTTTTGGTGTTCCCATTGAGCAAGAAAAACGGTCAATTTTACCATATTCTAGTAATCTTGACCATGCTTTTTTTCTCAGTGTTGACTGTTTGGAATATTATAATGAATTGTTAGATTTGCTTCATTATATGTATAACTTTATTTTTTTCAAAACATGGTACATGAAATTTATAACTTGCGGGGAAAAAATTCCATTTAAAGTAATAATTTAATTAATTTTCTCTTTCGCAGTAAGTAGTACAAAATGCGTGCATGGACAAAACTAAAAGACAAAGAAACGTTTATTGCATCAATAAAACTTTTCTATAGTTAATTTTAACTCAATTAATATTTGTTCGTTATCCTTATTTTTATGGAAACTAAAGCTTATACGAAGGAAAAACAAATTTCGACGTAAACCAATGTTTTCCAAATGTCAAACAAATTCTAAAACCTCGAAAGTTTCGTTCGAAAATGGACGAAACTGTAAAGAGAAAATATATAGAAATTTGTCTTTTATTAATAGGGAAATGACGTTTTGTGCTATATTAATAAATTAAGGAGGGAACAATGCATAATAGATACTAGGAAAAAGCAATAAATATTTGTCAAATCTCAATCATCCAAATCTTATGTGAAAAATCTATATCTCTTGTAAATTAAAAAAAAAGTTTCATTACTACAAGATTACCTTTAAATTACAAAACCTATTGAGTTTATTTCAATACATGTTTCGCATTTGTGAAAGTTTAAAATTACTATTCTCATAAGCACCATAGTTTCTTAATATTTTTATCATTATTTTAATTATTTAATTCTTAATTACACTTTTTGACTTTACACTCTAACTCTCTCTCTTGATGCACATTGCACCTCTATGAGTTTATTTGCGTTCGTAAAGCATTTATATAAAAATTATAAACTACTAGAATTCATAAGATTCTGTGTTTTAAAATATGTAGTACACGGTTATGATGTTATTTATTTTATGATTTATATTATTAGTATTTTTTAACTTTTTAAACTGAATACTTCTATGATGTGTTTCATCAGTCAAGCAAGTTTGAATGGAAGCGGAGTTCTAACTTTCGACAATCTATAGAGTAACTATATAGTATATCAGAACCCTTATACCATATACCAACCCATGTCACCTTTAATTACCTCATATCCGGGTGTATGACTAAAGTAGAATTATTTTTATCAAGTTTTTAAA